AAACAAGTAATTTAAAAGTATGACTTATAAAATATTCGACATCTGGTACTCGACACCTGGTACATTATAGGGTGGTACCCTATAATAATGAATATGGTTATTTCACTTCGGACATTGTAATCAGTTCTGCTTTATGTATATTACATAACTATAGAGTAATAGTAATTTCTTTTTATAAAAAATTTCTTTAATAAAACGTGTAAAAGCGTTCCGCACAACACATAAAAGCTGAGATTGATTGTAATTGAGAACTTAATTGAAAAAAAAAAATTTAATTAAAAGAAAAATTTTTAGAATGGAAAAATATTTAAATTGAAATTTTTTTTTTTAGTAATGTTTTTCTATATGGTTGTGATCAAAGTTTTTATTTTTGTTTTACTGCTTTTATAAGATTGATGAAGGCAGAAATTAGTTATAACTTCCAATGTTATTGAACCAGAAATAAAACAAACAATATTTTAATTTTTTTTTATAATCGAAAATGCCTATAATATGTTGTAAGAATACTGCTAGCATATTATTGAAATATTGTTCAAAGGCATATGATAATTGCAGTATAGAAAAAACTATTATAAGTGAAAAATAAAATTTCATTGAGCGAAAAAAATTCTGTGTTCGCAGTGCAAATCATAATTGAAAATTCAAAATATTTCGTTTAAAGGTTTATGTTGCAATTCAAAGTTTATGTTGCAAATCGGAAGAAATTTCTAACACATTATAATTAACAGTAAAATCAATGATAAATGAACATTGAAAACCATGCGCTTCTCGTGTCCTACACCTCGCAATTTTGGGTTTAAAAGTATACTAATGAATAATCTAGTAAATTAAAATTATATTAAAGGAAATTAAAGTGTTAATACAAAATATCAAGAATTATCAAACATAATCCTATATACATTAAAATCCTATTTTTAAATCTTAAATCCAAAATTCATCTTCCTTTTATGTACAGTACATTTCTACTCGTATATTGTTATACTTTAATCTGCTTATATCTATATTTTATGTTATGGTGCTCAATATCTGCAACACATACTAAGCAATACAATCAAACACATCTATTCACGTATATTTAATTATAATATAACAAAATTTTATTTTTTCTACGAGTACAATATTTTGATTAAAATTTTTGTCATAGGAAAGGCACCGAAAGAAAAACACTTCATCACTATTCTGACAATGGTCACTTCAAAAAATAACTTTGATCACAAAAGGATATTATTAACCTCTCTCTGTCTGCTTGTTCTTTTTTTTTTTTCATAATAATTTTTCTTTTTTCCTAAATTTACGTGAATTGAATATTCAATATTCAATCACAAATTAGTATTGGCATTATTAAATTTTCTCTATATATATGTATGTATGTACATATTGAAAGGCAAAGAATAGAGTATTCGGCTTTTTAACTAAAAAGGACAAAGATGAAAAAAAGACACGCAGAGAGAGGGAGAAAAACAACAATGAAATGAAAAAAAACATTGCCATAGTATTAGAAATTCGAGAAAAAATAAGAAGAATCGCATAAAAATTTCATTCGGTAAAATTGATTAGGTTAATGGTCCTAAGATTTGGAAACATTCTAAAAATTTTCGATTTAAAAATCCGTGCACAATATTTAAGTATGTATAAGTATATTTGGTCCAGGCTAAATAATATTTACATAAGAAAATATTTTCGGTTTATCGTGTTGAAATTTTTTTTAATTCATAACAAAAAAAAAAAAAAAAAAATGGTTATCCTGAAAATTCTTGTTCCTGCAAATGGAAATAAAAATTTATTTTGTTTTTGTCAAAATTTCTGTATTATTGATTTAAATCAGTTTTCGATACTTTTTCTTTCAGTTAAAGGACATCCGATCAGAATGAAATTTTAAGTTAAAAAAATTTTAATCAATATTTTTTATTTTTTTTGTATTAAAAGTGTTGATGGAAATTTAATTGTGTGTTTGTTAAAAGTTTGTGCCTGAAATTTGTTTAAAAATTAAATAAAAAATTAATAATAAAAAATTTAACAAAAAATATTATTGAACTTTTATTTTATTATATTTAAGATAATGTGGATGTGGTGAAATGCTTTTGAATAGCACTAGTTTTTTTTAAGCTGGAATAGAATTTGATATTTTTTTCGTACGAATACCTTAATTTTACAATGTCTTTGAAGATTCAGTTCGAACTTAGTACAAGATTTTGCAGTTTAGTAGAGAAGTATAAGTACTCGTAAATCTGTTTTTCAACTGAAAAAAAATTGTGATTCAAAATGAAGTACAACTGTTCCAGTATGTGATTATTTAATTGGAATTACTGGCAGCATGATCAGAAATTAAATTGAAATTGCAGTCTTATTTTTTTTTTTTGCCAGTTGCCGACCGTTCTGCCACATAAAAAACCAATTCCCAATTCTGACTTACGAAATGATTTAAAATTGCTGGCGTCTTAGTTATTTTATATCTGGGTAAAAATTACCAATGTTTTGTTCGAATTTTCAAAATTTCTTTAAGAATTTCATAAAATTTTCGTATAATTGTGACCTACACACACGTATTAATTAATATAACATCATATAAATATTGGTTTTTTAATTCATGTAAGTTTTTGATGTAGTTACATTAAAGCTGAAAGCAAATTCACAATATTCCAACAACGATGAAGGGACATCGAATTATTCTAACCACATTTTATGCCAACATAATATTACATTAGAGTTTATTACAAATTTGAAGTAGTGTGACTCTTAATTTTAGTGGTATTAATTTCAGTTTATATGAACCGAAAACGAAGTTATGGGACACTTTTTAATAACAACTAATAAATAACAATTGAATTTATACCTAAATAAATGTCCGGGTCTTTAAGGAAGACTGCCTATGGTTAACAAAAAATATTTTAAGTTTATTGAATTAAATAAAGGGGGGTTTTCGTTTATTCAGTTCTAGAATAGTTTTAGCTTGTAATATGTCGATAAAATTCACGCTACATACACTTAAAATATAGATCATTCGGAAATTACTGACTGGAAAAAAGAAATGTTAAAAATGTAGCACAGACATCTAGTATAAATTTTGTCTCTGACTAATGAAATTTCTTTATTTTTTAAAACTTAGCTAAAGTATTTGCATATTGTTTAACGCTGTGACTTAGAAATTTTAGTTCTAATGTAGAACTTTCAATACAGCGTGCATAAACGAAAACCCCCAAAATTAATGATCTTGAAAAATATTAAGCAAGCCAATTCATTTCTAATATTTTAATTAAAATATTAGAATACAATTTCCTTAGCATATAATCATACAATATTTATAGCACATAAATAATAAAATATCACAAAAATTATTTAAAATTTATTTTATTCGTCCTATTAGCAAATATACGGTTTCTATATATATATTATGCAATATTTATACTTATAGTGTTAGATTTATCATAAATTTTTGACGAAGGTCAAAGTAGAAAAATTATCATGAGATTTTTTCTCGTTTTTATCATATAGATTAAATTGTTAACTAAGATTAAAATCTTAAATTTGACAAAAAATCCCTTTTAAAGAGAGAGATAAATGAATATTCCATTTAATATATAAAAAAAATTGTCCTCAAATCTCGTTTATAGATTCATTTATCCATCTTTGAAATCCCAATTGATTTAGGTATTTGTTTGAGATCAAGGAAGAATAAGAAGGACCATAACATCCATAAAAAAACAAAATAAAAATGAGAAGAACAAGAAAATAATAAAAACAGAAAGGATTCAAGATCTTACCGTATAACAATGGGAGAAAAAAATTATTATATATAAAATTCACGGATTTACAAATGTATATGCACAATAATAATATAACAATTTTACACATTCATACATACATACATATACATGTATATGAAAAAAAATCAATATCTTAAAGATTTAAATGAAGATTTTATAATAATATAAAAAAAAAAAATACCTTTTAGAAAATTTTCTTTTCATGAAAAAAAAAAATTATCCTTATCATCCTTTTTTTTTTTTTTTGTTTACTCTCTGCCACACCACAGTTCAGTTCAGTTTTTATGATTCATATAACATAATATAAAGAATTTATTGGTAGCAAAGAATTTAGAATTATTTTTATAAGCTGGGGCATTTTAAATGAGAACTATGGGGAGAACACATAAAAAACAAAAAAAAAAAAAATTAAACACAAATTTACGATTTTTCATTTTATGACGAATAAATTGCTACCTAATTGGGTCAAAGTTTTTTTATGATATTATATATCAAGTGGGACGACAACAATGGTTTTAAAATATTAGCATAACAATTTATGTATATATAGAATATTAAAATGTGCAGTCGTTAAAAAAAACAAGAAAAAGCAAGAAAAAATAAGAGCAAGTAAATTTTCTTTAGAGAGTTATTTAAAAAAAAAAAACACAAAAAGCAAAAATTCCTCAAGTGAATTGGAAAATTTTATTGACAGATTGACAGAGAGAAGATGAAGAAGAGAAATTTTATGTTAAAAATTTTGATAAGAATTAAAATTGAAATTATGAGAAAGATTTTAATTTAAACATAAAAAAATTTAAATATTAATAAAATGAATTGAAACATAAATTTAAAATTGTTTGTTTTCTCGAATTAGGCATTAAAATGGAAAATTGTGCAGCAAGTATGGAATATCTTTTAATCCTGACATGGCATGGATGACGGGATACTTTGATTGTAGCTATACTTAAATCTATATTATTGAGATTTTAAATGATTGCGAATATTATAATTTCATTTGTGTTCATTTTTAATTAATTTGCCTGAAATCTACTTTATTAAATTCAATAGTAATTCTATGATTATATTGAAAATACTTAAATTCAATAGCAATTTCAATATAATCATAGAATTACTAAAAAGCTATAACAGAATTTCTAATTAATTAAAAATAATTCAAGAAATATTTTAATAGCGCTCTTATAAAATAATCCGAAGGTAAAAAAAAACAAAAAATTGTTTTTAACACTCCTATCTCTAACAATATAATTTATTTTTAGCATTTAAAGTTGATTTTCCATATGATTTTCCTATTTCAAATCTTTCACCTGGTACATGGCCAGTATAATTAGGTATCATACCCTTATCTTTAATATATATTTCATATTTTTCAAAATTATTTTTAGGTTTGCTAATAATTGTTTCAATTGTAATTGGTATTCTTCGATAATGTTGATTTAATTTATAATATTTAGTAAATTCACATAATGCACTATTATCATTTTTACCAATTTTAGTCCATTCAAATGGAATCCAACCAGCATAACCTAAAATTGATAAGATGAGATTAAAGATAGTTTAGTAATTTTAAAATTTTTATCAAAATTGATAATTTTATTGAGAAGAGAAAATTTTAAAAAATTACCTGATTTAAGAAATTTTCTAGGATCATCGTCTTCCATGAAATGTGGTGGATAATGTTTAGAATATGGTAAATTTTTTGAATATTTATCAGCAATATCTTCTTCATTTTTTACTGCCTCTTCAGTATTTTTAATGGGGATCAAAGGCATTTTCAAATCCTCTTCAATTAGCTAGAAAGAATTAATTTGATTAGTTACTTAACCTATTTAGTGGGTAATTATATAATTGAATTAAAATTAAAATTTACATATCCTTCTGCTATATTTTCATTAAAATTATTTTCACTTTGTAAATATATTCTTTGTTTTAATTTATTTAATTCATATTTTTTCTTTTTCATAAATTTTTCGAATTCAGCAATACCTTCAGTTGTTATTATTGAATAACGTGCACCAATTTTATTATTGGAAAATGGTATAAAACCACAATAACCAGGTATTTGTGAATATTTATATAAAGGATCATCAGAATTTTCATGTTCTTTAACTAAATTAATTTCTTGTAATGTTGGTCTTTCTTTAAGATATTTATATGTTTCATCAGTTGTTATAATAATATTTTCTGAATGTGTTGTACTTGTATCAAGTAATAATTTATGTGTTAAATTTCCATATGTTTCACCAATACGAAATTTATATTGTGGACAAAATCCTGTATACCTTAAAAAAAAAAAAGAAGAAAAATAAAATTTTCATATTTACAAATTGTTAAATGAGAGTCAGATTTTACCCAGGTATAAAATGAGGTTCTGATGTTGAAATTTCGCTCAACATTTTTATTTAGTTGCTTCAATTAATTTTCTTACATACATTTGCAATGAATTAAATTTACTTAAAATTTTGTATTTAAATAATATTTGAAATCAGTTTATTTAATAAAATTTCTTTAAATTTTATATTTCTTGTTGGAATTTTTTTTGAATATCTACATTATTTATATTCTTTGAAATTGACATTTTTAAAATTTTTGACATTTGACATTTTTAAAAATTCAAAATCGAAATTTCAAATTCGGTATTAAATGTATACAAATTGTATACAAATTTCGTTTCTCCTGAAAATATGCTAAAAAAATTAAGTATGCGATTAATTATTCAATTTTCATATCGTCGATATTATGGAAGAGTCATGAAACTGCTTTTCTTGTATTTCGAGAAAAACACATTTGAAAACATATACACTAATGCCAATTCGCAGTTATGTGTAAAATTTATAACGTTATTTTTCCGAAAATACTAACGTTAGAGCTATGTAAATTTAATATAAAGACAGTTTAGAAAATGCTGAATTTTTTTATATTTATTACTCAAAACGCTTAAAAACTCGTGACTCTTCCATAATACAGACGATATTGGAATAAAGTAAGGTGTGGAAGCTTTAAGAAAACTGAGAGTCATTCATTTTTTTCATATTAAACAAAATTTAACAATTTCATATAAAATCTTGCATCGAATTAGTTTAAAAATACTAAACAGATTTAGCAAACTCGAGGCTAAATTTAATTTAAAACAAAATCACTACATTATCCAAAACTAATTTAATTAAATATTAAATTCTAATCCAATAAGTTTTGCATAAAATTGCAATTTCTTTATTTTATTGGCATTTTTAATTATTACTATAAATATTTTGTTTTATATGTGACATAAATTTGATTTTTCAATGAAATTATAAGAGTCCTTTTAAAAATTCACTCCTTTAAAAAAGCACATACATAGGTGTATTCATATATATGTGCATGTATGTAGGTATTTTTAAATATTTAACAACTCGTCTTGAATAAATCCGGAAGAAAAAATGATCTAATCTTTTAAAAAAAATTGTTTTGGGTAGAATCTTTAAGGCAATCCGTTTTTATTGTTTCTTTTTTAGAATATTTTATAAAAATCTTTATTTAAAATATAAATTGAGTTCAATTGAAATTTTTTTTTTGTTTTTTTGATTTAATAGGAAAGTACCTGAGAAGAAAATGCCGTTGTTTATATTTAAAATGAATGGTATGAAAAAGAAAATCGAAAAAGAAAATTTCTTTGAAAAAGAAAACCGAAACTCAATTGAAAATTTTTTTTTTTCCTTATTTTTTTTTGCATGGTTTAAGGCATGAGTTTCTTTTTTTTTTGTTTTGTTCCTTCTTTTGACCAAATTGCATTCTCTTATATTCGTATATATTTATGTATGGTGTAAGTAGTTTGAATTACAAATCTGTTTCTTTAAGGGAAAATATTATTTTTCAAGAGATCTTCAAGAGAAATGTTGCAATTATGAACCGAAAACTTAGGGAGATTTTTAATAATTCATTTTGAAGTGATATTTTTATATATTTTTTGTATATACTTAATTAAACTTTTCCCGAATTCTTTTGGTTATTCCATAAGTATAAGAATTTTTCATATAGAATAGATTACAAAATTAATAAGAGCTTAATTATCACCTCCAATATGAATTCCACTCGTAGAATCTTACGAATTATAAACAAAAAACTACGACGTTAAACTTTTGAATGATCACAAATTCTCAAAACACCAATGACTGGATCATTTTTCAGAGCATCAAACTACATCATTTTTAATAATTACGTTTAGTTTTACAATTGAAATAAAATTATTTTAATAAATTATTATTTCGGACCTCAATTCTCTCATAAAAAAAAATTGTATGAACCATTTAAAATTTTTGTGTGCCGAATGAATTAATTTTCTTCTTCACGTATAGTTGAAAAAATATCAATGAATTTTCTTGTTGTTATTCATTGATAAAGAACGTAATATAAATAAAAGCAAAACAAGAAGAAGACAAAAAAAAAAATTAAATTTTTTATTTTTTACCCCCAAGAGCATTTTTTTTTTATATCTGACTGACTGTCTGCCTTAATAAATTATGAAAATCAATTTCCTTTCGAGTAACACAGTTTCTTTAACGTTTTGCTTTTCTATTTTTTTTTAAATTTTTGCATAAAATAAAAACGAAAAATGCATTCAAGTTTTTTTTTTCTCTTGCATCAATGTTTCCCATATATTGACGATTTCCTAGTATAGTTTACAAGGATATTATGGATATCAGTCCTATATAAAAAAATCTAGGTGAAAAATTTGAATAAGAAAAGACGAAAGGCGAGAAAAAAACCATACTTTATTGTTAACACAAGAAAAAGAAGAAGAAGGAGAGAAAAAAATGAAGTGATTGCTATGAAAACGATAAGGCAAGAAATTTTATCCTCATCTAAATTGTTCCTATGAAAAGACGAAATAGGTCAATTGTAAAAAGAGCAGGGAAGCAAGAACAAAAAAAAAAAAAAAAATTTGTAGAAAATTAAAAATTGGTCCTTCTTCTTTTTTTGCTCTTTTCTTTTGCTCCTGTCTTTCTTTCTTTTCCCGCAGTCGGAATAATAGATGAACAGCAGAATTTCTGTACAGAAATTTTCTCAATAATTGGCTCCGATTTCATTTTATCCTTTTATTCATTGCGCTTTATTTTTTTCAATTTAAATTGCTGTTTTGTATTTGATTTTATTTTTTTTTTTCTTTTTTTCGCTTTTGATATTTTTATATTTGGCGCTTTTAACTGTCAGATTAAAGTACCATCTCAATTAGTGTCGAATTTAAATTGTAAAAGAAAATATCGAAATAGAAAAAATAAAAGACGATTTTTTTTTTTTTTGGAATTTTTGTTATTGTAGTGAAAGCGTTTAAAAAAAAATTTTTTTTGAAATTTATATTACCGAATCCTAGAGGATATTTTCGTATATCCCCAATAGAATTGAAATATTTTTTTTTTTTTTTTTTGCTTTGTTTCTTTCTAAATTTTTAAATTTTATTTTTTATTACCATAGAAGACTATATAACGCTTAATCGCTACGTAGTCTAATATTAAACCCTAAGAGTAAATTTATGAAGATGAAAAAAAAAATAGGCACAATATAGAAAAAGAAATTTATTTTAATTTTCGAAAAATTCTTTCATTCACATAGATTATTCAATAATATGATTTTATAATTTTAATTGGCTCCTTTATCATCCTCAGTATTTTTAAGTTATTATAATAATGAAGCCCGACTAGGGGGTAATTGCATTAAAGTAATAAAAAAATTTAAATGTGATGAATTTCAAGTTCAAATAATTTATATCGGTAGGAAATACAGAGTTGTCTTTCATCCGTCAGTATCGTCTCCCTATTTGGCACATACTGAGTTTCACCAAAAGTAGTCACTTGTAACCAAAGCTGTTCATGACCGCTGTCTGTTTTGCATATGTTTTGAAATGTTAATTTATGCTAATGATATGAAAATTTTTAAAAAAATTCGTCTTGTAAGTGATACAGTTTCTCTTCAAAATGATTTGAATAACTTTTACGGATGGTGTACAATAATAACAACTTGAAAATTAATATGAATTTTAGAAATAACTTACAAATCGTATAACATGCTGTCGAACACGTACAAGAAAAACAATCAGTGAAAAAAAAATTGAGTTATTCAACAAGATTCAATGTTCAATTCAATACTGACAACAAAAATAAGCTAAAATTTATTTATTAGAAATTTGCCTCTCTTCTCAATTAGTTGAAATTTTTTACGCTCTGAGCATAATTGAGTTGAAACAATACATTAATCTTAAATTTTTACTCTTTCTTATAGGTATAGCTCATTATTTGTGTTACGTACTAGGTATATACCCCTGAATACAAAAACAAATATGTAAGTAAAATTAAAGATTTGGTTATTTTGTAATTTTTTGTGTTTTCGTTCCTTTGTAATTTATTTAACACGCACAAAAATTAATGAGAAGAAAATTTATTTGGTAAAACCATAAAACCATAAAAAAAACCGCAAAAGCAGTTCATCAAAATTTGTGGGTAACTTGGTAAAAAAAAAAATTATTTTTTTTATTGTTTACTTTTTTGAGGGTGATTAAATTCTACTAAATATATGATTTACTTATAATAATAAAATTATTACAATAAAGCTTAATATGAGGACGGAAATTTTCTTAAAACTTTTTTTTTAGCACTTTTCCAAAAAAATTTTGTAAAAAAGTGCTTATTAGTTTCACTCTGTCCGTCCGTCCGTCCGTCTGTCCGTGTGTCTGTTTACAAAACTTCTACACCCTTGAAGATAGAAAGCCGAAATTTTGTACGTACATAGATCTTTACTAGAAACTTATTTCCGTAGAACAACATTTTTACCTATCTCCCCCCCTCTAGAAGTTATACCCCCCCAAAACCCTAAAAATGGCCTTTTTTAACCATTTGTTGCAATGAAACCATAAGCATTTTTGAAATTTTGCAAACGCAGAAAGGCAGTGGCTTGCTTCTTCTAGCACGGTATACTACAGCTAAACTTTAAAAAAACAAAATGGCCGTTCAAATTTACCGTTATCTAAAGTCCTTTTTTTGCAAATTTTTGATTTCGTTTTTCTTCTAGACCCCAGCCTGTAGAAGCTTGAAATTTTAGGGCCTTTTAGACATTAACAAATAGTTTATTTTGTTAGAAGAAAATTTTTTTCCATCTCCACCCCCTCTCAAGTTATCGCCTCTTGAAATTTGTAAAATTTGAATTTTTGATACCATATATTTCCGAAACCGCAAGCTTTTTCAAATTTCTATAAACGCAAAAAGCTAACGGTAATTTCCATGACATTAAAAAATATAATTATTTTTCTTAACTCACACAAATAACCCTTAAAATCGAGCATTATGTTAACCCCTTTTTATATTAATTTTTGCTTTATTTCAAAGACTGCATATATGCGTCATCCTAAATATATGCAATCCTAGAA